AGGACCAGAAGGCAGGAGGGGACAAAAAAACTGGTAATGGGGAACCCAAGGTCAAGATGGGGAACAGCATTGACATGTCATGGGGTTGGCAACTAATAATATGTGTATCAATTGTTTAACGAGAAACTAATCTGCTCTGTAAACCTTCATCTAAAGTACAAAAAAAAAAAAAGGAATACAGAAAGTAGAATATCCTATGTATAAAATTTTAATGTGTGCAAAATATTCCCATCTATTTTTAGCTATACTAATATGCATTAATAGTATAAAAAACACGTGAATAATAGTAATAGTTTGAGATAATATTTTGTCTAGAAATGAGACATGGAGAGGGTTACAATCAGGGAGGAGAACAGAGTAGTCTTCAACTGTATTGGAAATGTTTTCTTTCTTAAGCCAGGTGCTGTGTCCACAAATGTTGATTAAACATTTAAAAAAAAAAATTATATATATATATAAATATAAGTTTCCAGTGATCAAGCTGGAGCAATCTGAACAATAAAATAATGTAATATTGGATTATAATACAAAGTATAAAATAAATATCCATGAGTTCACTCTGATAAATGATTTGACAGAGACAGAGACAGAGAGGGGCAGAGAGATAATGGGGGAAAAGGGACAAATCTCCCATGCAGAATTCCAAATAATTTATGTAGATACATCACCCTCAAGGAAGGGGAGCATAACCACTCACTCTTTTTAAGTTTGGGCTGTGCATAGTGACTTCCTTCCAGAAAGTACAGTATGGAAGGGGGGGGTATCTTTACAGTGACGAAACCTGACAAACACTACCTCCAACTAATCAAGATCAACATCATCGGTGGTAAGTTGATAGTATGTATCCTTGATATGATGCAATGAAAATGGCACTTTACCTCTGTGGTCTTCCTCCCGAAAACACATAACCCCAGGGTAATCATAAGGAAATCATCAGACAAATTCTAATTGAGGGGCATTCTACAAAATACCTGACCAGCACTCATGGTCATCGAAAACAGAGAAATTATCACACCCAAATAGAACCTGAGGAGACATGACAACTAAATGTAATGTGGTATCCTGGATGGGATCCTGGAACAGAAAAAGGACATTAGGTAAAAAACTAAGGAAATCTGATAGCTAATAATAATGTATCAATATTGGTTCACAGTTTGTGACAAATGTGCCATGCTAAGTTGTTAACAGGGGAAACTGGATGTGAGGTATATGAGAACTCTCTGCACTATCTTCATAATTTTTTTGTACATCTATAACTATTTTTGATTTTTAAAAAATTTAGTTTTTTAAAATCCTAACATTTTAGAGCTGGAAGGGAATTTACTAACCATCTAATACAAATCCCACCTTCAGCAGATTAGGAAACTTAGCTCAAGAGAATGAATTTCTCAAAAGCAACTGAACACTATCGTACTCTTTCTTTTATTAAAAAACTGAACACTGCTGAATTACTTTGTCAGCTACAAACATTCTTTTCATTAACTTTACTCCTTCACTTAAAAAATACTTTACAAAATGCCTCCTACAGTTAAAGCCCTGTCCAAGGTGCTGTTTAAAAAAAAAGTTGGTCTTGCAGAACTCACAGAGCTCAGAATCATAACATGACAGAGTGTTTCATACCTTAAAAATCAAAGCATGACAAATTTTGTCCAGGGTTTGTACATCTAGGAAAATATTGTTTGTATTTTTAAACTAGGGGCATGCAAAAACCACAACAGTAGCATATGTGCTTAACTGCATATTATGGGTTTGTACAATTAACCTTTTGGATTTATGTCCTAACAATCCTGGTGTAAATTTTCTGAGTTTTTATCTCAAAAGAGCTAATTCCTCTTGTTCTAAGTAATTTCTCCAGAATTACCATCCTCCTCCCCCTCCAAACGCTCTAATCCAAACATTGCAAATCTGTCCAAAAGGCACATAAGCCATGGACCTTCCACGTATTAAAAATATTAAATTTTCAGAAATTTTATAACAAGTGTTTACTTTCTTAACCCTAAAAAACTTACATGCTATCGAGAAAGGAGAGTGTTGACATGTCATGGGGTTGTTAACCAATGTCATAAAACAATATGTGTACTAACTGTTTAATGAGAAAAACTACTCTCTGGGTATAATATTAAAGCGTAAAAATGATTCAGATGGTAAATGGAAGTAAATTAAAAATCTAAATTGCTTATCAGTGTAATCTCTGTGAAGATAAATCACATTTACACATCTTTTAAATGGGGGATATACAGAGATGCTATTATCTAGTTTGGAGCCCTGGTGGCACAGTGGTTAAGAGATCAGGCTGCTAACCAAAAGGTCCGCAGTCTGCATCCACCAGCTGCTCCTTGGAAACCCTATGGGGCAGTTCTACTCTGTCCTATGGTTGCTGTGAGTTGGAATCGACTCGACAGCAATGGTTTTGGTTTTGGTTTTTATTATCTAATTCAATTCTTTTATTCTATATTTCTTTTCTCAGCATATTTGTCATTTTTTGCTGTGGTAACATACACCACCACGCAGACTGTGGTTCTGCTCCAGGCTATGGCTCTGTTCCCCATTCTCATGTCCAGGCTGAAGAATCAGTCCCATCTAGGACATGCTGGCTCTGAAGACAGCAGAAGCCAGAGAGCTGCAGGAAGTTCATGATACCTCTTAAATCTTCTGCTTAGATGTAAGTATCTGTTGCATCTGCTCATATCCCATTAGCCAATGCATGACATAGGATCAAGCCCAGAGTCACTGGACAGGGACATAATACTCCGGGAGTCAAGGGATGCACAATCTTCCTACAGGAAAAAACAAAAAACAAAACCCACTGCTGTCGAATCGATTCTGACTCATAGCTATCCCATAGGGTTTCCAAGGCTGTAAATCTCTACGGAAACAAGCTGCCACATCTTTCTCCCGTACAGCCGCTGGTGGTTTTGAACAGTCAACCTTTCAGTTAGCAGTTGATTACTTTAACCACTGCACCACCAGGGCTCCTTCTTACAGGAAAGGGGATGAATAAAAAACAGCAAACAATAATACAGTTCTCCACATGAGGGGTAACGTGCTTGAACTAGACAGTTGTTAAGATCTAACCACCCCTATTCTTTATCATCTTTAGAGTGCCATTTGGGTGGCTGCCATAAATTATGCTAATTACTCCTATAACCTTTAAAGGAAGTATTCCAAAAGTTCAAGCTGAGGTGCTAAATAATATAAATTAAATTTCAAATATTATTCTAATTTTAGTTTCCCCACATTTCTGTTCCCAGTGAAGAACACAGGCTTAAAGAGATTCAAAGTTGAAAGGGAACTTGAATGTATCTATACCAACAACTTACAACCAGTATAAGCATACAGTTTGGAATGCAGAAGTCTAGCTATTCAATACTGTCATGACCATTATGTATTTGCTTTTCCTTAGGCCTTATATCCTTTTGTAATGTCTCTTACTAATGTTACCTGCCCGAGTATCTGTGGCCTTTCAACCTTCTAGGTAAATCTTTTATATGCTGAAAATTTTTCATAACCATTTGCCCCTCCTCAGCGCAGTGACCCGGAATCCAAAGGATGTACTCTGCTCCCAGCTCTGCTTTCATTATGGTAATGAAGTCCATCTCTCTCTACTCACTTCTCTCTCCTTTTATCTCTTGTAAGATAAAAGATGATGCAGGTCACACCCCAGGGAAACTCCCCTTACATCCAGTCAGGGCTGTGACCTGAGTAAGGGTGTTGTATCCCACCCTAATCCTCTTTAACATAACCTAATCTTGCCTCATTAACCACAGGCAGAGATTCGGATTTACAACACATAGGAAAATTACATCATATCACAAAATGGAGGACAACCACACAATACTGGAATTAAGGCCTAGATAACACATATTTTGGGGGGGACACAATTCATGATAGATGGACAAATGCTTTTCCAGGAACAGGAAAATGAGTGGGGCCAAGCACAGGAAAAACAATACTGGCATCTGAAGAAATTGGGGTTTGGGGATTCGAGTCTAGAATGTGTGCAAGTGAAGAAGTTAGAAAGGATGGCAAGGGTTAGGTAACGAAGACCCTAATATGCCATTCTGAAGAGCTTGGCCCTTATCCTGAACATATCAAGAACTCAAGGCTCAGGATGGAATCTGTCCTCAGCAACCCTGGTTCTTAGAGAAACCGGGTTTATGTGTCCGGGACTCAGGTCATTAGGCTTCCAATCACAATTACTCTCCTCACATCCAAATGAGCCTCAACTAGTTGTCACCTGCCTTTTTCCTCAGAGCAATTCCATGAATTTGGCTCTCTGCTCTTCAGAAAACAACTCTGTAAGGTTTTTTTATCTGCTGTTTTCCTTTGTTTGACCCCTTCTCCTCAGATTCTCAGAGTGAGCATTTTGTTTACACCAAGTTCTGGTCTCATCAGCTCACCTATGTGACAGAGCTAACTGCTGAACGACATACACATTCAATAGCTTCACCCACTATTATCATCTTTCTTACATAAGCATTCTCATATCTGAAGATACTGTATAGCCACGTAAGCCCTTTGGGAACCCTATCAATCTCACAGTGATTTGCAGGAAAGGGAGCTGCTAATATTGAGACTAAATTATTTCTAGGTAAATCACATTAGTACTGTGGGGAGAAGCACATGCTTTACCATCAGATAGAGTCTGGTTTGTAATCAAAGTTTTGCCCCTTCGCTGCTGTGTGACCTTGTGAAAGTTAATCTCTTAGCCTACCTCTCTACCTAACAAGTGCTATGAGAATTCAGTGACAATGTATATGAAAATGTCTTAAATTAAAAAATGTAACATCTAATGCTACACAACTAGTTAGTGCATCATGGAAGCCACAAATACAACCCAGGCCTCATTATGCAATTTCTTAATATCCCCAATATATGCTATTTACTAAATGAATGCTAACACATCTTTGATTTCTCACGTTTCCAAACAGTCAGAAAAAAGCAGTTTGAAGCTTTTATCTCTATTTCTACCTCTAGGTCCTTCTCTGTCTCTCCTGAGGTTTTTTTTTTTTTTTAAAACAAAAAAAAGGATGTCCCAGTTTTACCAATCAGGTCAGATGTAAACATATTAATTCTAGCCTTTACTGACTAAAAACTATGGTATGCTTGTATTAGAGAATCCTAAAAGGAGCTTGTTTGACCAACGAATTGCAATAAATCAACTCGACTTCGATTTACTAGGCACACAAATTTAACACCAGGTTGCACACACATTTGGACAGATTCGTCTTCGGCAGATACTATAGTATATGTAGCTCACTCTACATTCATTCCCAGTCATCTTCTCCCTTGCCTTCTCCATACAGCAGCTGGAAAGCAAAATACTCACCTTCCCAGACTTATCTGCAGCTAGGAGTAGTCTTCTGACATAGTTCTGACCGATGAGATACAGCAGAAAATCCCAGGGGAGAGTTTCCCAGGAAAGAAATATGGTAAAGATTGTTTCTGGGTGGTGGATTAGAACTGCTGACCTTTTGGTTAGCAGCCGAGCTCTTAACCACTACGTCAACAGGGCTCCCTTTTGACGCAGTAATTTTAAAAAGAAAACTCTCAATTTCGCTTGGTAAAAGTACAATAATTTTTCTTCTAGGGAAAACTTTAAAATACAATCTTTTAATCTTCCAAAGAACCTAAATAAAACAAAGAAAAAAAATAAAATCCCTAAAATTGAGTCCTCCCTTTATTTATTGACTAAAAGATTTAAGAAGAAAAAGATCTTTTGACAGAAACAAAGCATGATAGATTGGTGCTATATTATTTATAATTTATTACTTATAAAAATAACTTCAGCTTTCTCATCATAATGACAGTCCAATAAATTCTCTCCTAAAAGTCAGGAGCCTTGACACTTAAGGTTTTAACTAAGTGTTCAAAAAAAAAAAATCCCTAGCCATATATATTTTTTAAATTTACAATCAAATTAAAAAAAACTGGAAGGTGAAACTTTATAACAATTTTCAAAATGTACAGTAAAATATGTGGTCAAATATCAACTACTTCAAATAGCATAAGGTGACAATGTATCTGCAAACAATTTCAAATTCTAAATAATAAAGAATTGCTTAATGTTCAGGTACTTTTCTAAATAAACTGCCAAATTACAAGATGCTGTTGGTAGACTGTACATTTTTCAAACTATAAGAACATATCCACTTCATATATTTTAACACCCAGAGGAAAACTTTTCTACATTAATAAAATTAATACCATTATAAAATTTCAGGAATTCTCTCTAACATACCAAGATTTCATATGAAAAAGCAGAAGTTACTTTCGATATAAAACAGTAAATATGAACCCCATATAGAAATCTGAAGTTAGACAATTCCTTCGGCAGAAAACATTTAATTATAAACAGATCTTAAAATAAATACAATCCATGAAATCATGGAAAGGAAAGAAAAAACCCTGCATTTCTTATTAACACCAAAAAAATCATGTCAGTACACAGATTTAATAACATTTTTATACTATCAACAACCTACAACATACAGTATGGCAAAAATAAAATTATTTTTAATTTAAGAGGAAGAAAAACTTCTGCATGTATAAAATTTCACAAATGCCAATATACACTATTTATATACATGTCACATGTTATATTATTCCAAAACTACATTCCAAAACTCATTGCCATTGAGTCGAGTCTGACTCATAGCGACCCTACAGGACAAGCAGAACTGCCCCATAGGGTTCCAAGGAGCGGCTGGTGGACTCAAACTGCTGACCTTTTGGTTAGCAGCTGTAGACTTAACCACTGTGCCACCAGGGCCCCAATGCAAAACTATGTTAGTTGAACTTAACTGGCCGATCCCGATTTAGTGAGTGTGCAGCATTTATACTGGCTCAAAGACTTACACTGAATTAAGCTTTTACAATTCAGATGACAATTATACATGAAATATTTACACAAACATTAAAATAACTGTTTATTAAATATAGTTTCAGAGAAAAAAGGTAAGATTTCCCACATATATGCAAACATTAACTGTTATCAAGAGCAGCTTTGGAAATATTTTTTACGTTTTTTTTTTTTTTTTAAAGAACAGAGGACTTGTTCCCAAAAAAGTAAGGTGCCATTTTAGAATAATTTTTTATAACTATATAATTGAATTCACATGGAAGTAAAACACTGGATGAGAAAGAGAACACAAGACATTAAGGGTTAAGATTTTCTTTGCAGTTACTTATATCTGAAATAAGACCATGATAGAAATTGGGCTTTCAAATACTGGTTGTTTTTGTTTTTTCCTGTTAAATGTAGACCAAGTACTAAATAGATTATTTTGTTCTAGGATACAGTTTCTTTGAAAAAGAAGCACACTGCTAATCAAATTTCTGTATAACAGATTAATGACAAAAATTTCCAGAGAACTGTTCTCAAATGGATTCTTAGTAGAAAGATTAAATGCTTTAAAAATCAAATGTAGAAATCTTGCTTCCATGCAAGTAACTTTTTAAATATTAAATTTATGTCCACTGTTTCTCCCAGTTTAAATATTATCTATCTGTAAGCATATTTATTTGTATTTTCTATTTTGAGTTATATAAAGAGCTGGTAGATGATGTAGTGTGCAAATTTTTAGGAGAGAAAACAAACCCTACTGGTTTACTATCTAATTCCTACAGTATGGGAATCTATTAGCCCTACAAACTGATTTAAAACATAGCCTTCAGAAAAACTGTCTCAATAGCCTCTCTATCAGTCCAATGCCTGCTATCATTCCACAGACTTAGATTATTCCTGAAAGGAATGGTCAGATTTGTCAACAGCCTGGCAGAGCAATGGCACTCAAATCACTTTCTAAAAGAATCAACACACCAATAAACACTTGTCATCCATGCTTGGTATACATCACATCAAATTATTTGGAATGTTTCACGGTTCAAAATTCACGTATGATCAGTGAAAAAGGAAACGCAGTACACCCACTCTTCACTTATGGACAGGGTTATGTTCCAAAGACCAGGTCGTTATGCAAAAATCAGCGTTATGGGAAAACAGATGACCCACATCAGATCACAAAACGGAGGATAACTATATCACTACACAACTGCCAAATTACATCATGACAAAACTGCCAAATTACACTATTACATAATTACGTAACTACCTAATTACATCATTACATAACTGCCAAACCACTGAGAATCACTGCCCAGCCAAGCTGACACATAACCTTAACCCCCACAGCCAGCATTACTCTCACACCGGTGTTCGTTACTGTCAGATGTACATTGTTAATGTGCAAAACAGTCAGACAGTAGATTTTTTACTATTGTCATAAATGTGAAACGTCAGACAACGAGACAGTCGATAAGTGAGGAGTAGGTGTATATTTGCACATCACACCGCAGGAAGGAAATGGCGAATGAATTACAGAATGGCTGGAGTCACTTGAAAAGGTCATTAGTGGCAATTCTAAATCCCAAGGCCACTTGTAGGAAAGGAAATGCTTTCCCCAGGGAATGGAAATGTTTTGTGGGGCATTCCTTAGCCCACTGTTGGCATGACTGGGGGTCTTGCTATATGTTTTGTCGCACGTCTGCTTCTACATGGTCTTCACCGTTACTATACAGAAAACATTTTTGTTCCTTCCAAATTGCTCTTGCTTCTGTAGACAATTATATGCTAATTATTACTCAACATAACACTGAGAGCAAAACTGACAGTACTGCCAACACAACTGCAATTTAAGGAGCCAAAAGGAAATATGTTGGCAAGCTAAATGCTTACACAAAAAGATGTTCGCATTTTAAAATAATAGCATGTGAGAAACTGGAAAAAAAAAAGTGCAGACAAAAGATATTTAAAGGTTTTGGTGCTCTCCCAATGTTTTAGGGGAAATCATGATGTTTTAGGAGAAAAAGATGGTTTCTTTAAAGTAAAATGTTTACACTCCTAACTCATGCTTTTTAGTGTCATGTGGTTATATTTTAAAGTATGACAAAACTAACTGGAAGCATCTTTAAGTTGCCTCTGATCAAAAGTCTGACTGCAAACAAACTGGATTGAAAAATTTCCCTTATGGCCTTGGTAGAGTAAAACAGACTTTTGTGCTTTATTTATTCATGGTCCTTTTGAGTTGAGAGAAAACATTTTTTAGTATTTCCAGATGAGAATCATAAGGGTTGAGTAATACACTTATGAATACTTTCAAGAAAATGCTTCGTTTGTTTCTATAGGAGAGGCTGCTGATGGTAACTTGTCTGCTGCTGTGTAGCTGAATGAGCTGGAACTGCCACTGGAAAGCCTGCCACTTGTGGCAAATTGGAAGCAGTGTTCTGGTAAGATGACATATCCACAGACATCCCCATCTGCTGTGTGTAAGCGGCTGTACCAGTAGCAGATTGAAGGTTAGAGTTCTGGTTCATATAAGCGGGACTGGAAATGGTGTCTTGTCCAGTGCTACAAACAAAATTTTAAAAAGAAAACCGTATTTACTTTACATTAAGTTAGTCAGAGAGCAATCATCATGACAAAATAAAAATGCTTTTCCAACTTCTTTTTAAGTTTATGCAGCACTGCTACTCTGATTATGATTTAATCACTCTGGCTATCATATACTGATGATGTGATTTTTGTATTTGGTAAGAAGAGAGGTGTACTCAGGAAGAGGCAAAAACATCCTATTATAAGGCCTATTAATATAGGTTCTCCAGAATCTCTCAGTAAAAACATTTAAAACTCTTTGAGGAGGTGCAAACTGCTCCTGGCAGCGGTGCCCTTGATCAGCTGCTCTGAGAATAGAGCCCAAACTCTGGAGCTGCACCTTCAGCCATTCTCCCTTCCCCCATCTCTCAATACAGCACAGAGGGAACTAGCTCTTCTCCTCACACACTCTTTCGGCCTTCCTCTGGTAGGGATTTCCCTTTCAAGCTGTCCCTGATAGTCAAGACAGTTTAACAAGCATCCCTACATAAGAATAATTAAAAAGTAGAGAGAACAGTGTAATATGCATAGGATCCTAGAATCCATCCTCAGAATAGTCCTGTCCTGTAGTTTATTGATTAATTGTCCACAAAAAAAACAAACCAAGCTAAATATTCACACCAACTTGCAGGACTTCTGTTCCTGTAACCACTATGGCATATACTTCTTGTAAAATATATATAATTTTAAATTACACCAAATATACTACTTGCAATATAGGCAAATTTATGTCTACACTAGTCTAGTTTTTTCCTCCATAATTCCTAGCATTACCTAGCATAACAAAATTTTACATTTTAATTTAACTAAACACCAATATGAATAGGTTTACTTAATGTTCAGATAACATTTAAAATTCATACTCATGGAATTTAAGACTGGGAAGAGATCTTAAAGATCACCTAAAAAAAAAAACCAAACCCATTGCTGTCGAGTCAATTCCGACTCATAGCAACCCTATAGGACAGAGTAAAACTGCCCCAGAGGGTTTCCAAGGATGCCCCATCTTTCTCCTGTGGAGCAGCTGATGGGTTCCAACTGTCAACCTTTCAGTCAGCAGCAAGCGATTAACCACTGCGCCATTAGGGCTCCTCTAGAGATCATCTACACGACTATATTCAATGAACATTTTGTATATTAAGCAAAGTGAACAGAAAGCAAGATTTAAACATGATTTTCAGAATATGGTTATTTGTATTAAAAAAGTAGACCACAAATTGCACAGCTCAAAAACACTTCTTTTTTAAGGATTGAAGTAACAACAGTTTTCTGATTTTTTAGGAGTACATGCAGATAAATATGTTGGGGACTACTCAGCTAGGCTGATAACAGCACAGTGTGAAGGGTATCATGGAATTGGTACCCATAAAGGACAGTTAACTTTATTTGTCCCAGGGACCCACATTATAAGCAGAGATCTGGGCAACCATCTAAGTATGGGCAGTAGAGCTAAGAGGAGCACCTTGCTGCCTTCTTATCACAGGACTAGGAATGGGCAGTTCTATAATTTTATCTTCATAGTAAAAGATAACACGATTATTATGAAGAAAAGAAGCTAGACGTCATTCTGAAAGTCTATGGAAAATTAATGTGCACAATTACAAAACTAACACAGCTCTCAAAAACTTACCTTAAGTAAGGAGTTTGAGCAGGCTGTGTTGTCACTGAGGAATTCACATTTGGAGGCAGAGATCTCAGTGGACCAATTTGATCTGGTCCTAGGCTGTAGCTCTGGGCAACAGTGACTTGATGAATGCTTTGACCCATATAGTTTCCACCATGTGACTGAACTGGGTATGTCTATTAACCAAAGAGAAGAAGTTGACTCACCGATCTCTAAAACATCTGCCTAACATGTTTAAAACTTTCAAAGACTTAAATGAAATCAAATATTAGAGCTCTCTGGGGAACAATCTAGTCCACTCATCTATCCACCCTAGTTCAAAGTGGAGAGTTTTCAAATCTAAGTGCCAAATCTATAGATACTTATGATTTGCTTAGTTGTTCTTTTATTTTGTAGGTGGGAGTTGGAGGGGAGAAGACGGAAGAGAGATGGTGTATTTTTAAGTAAAGGATTGGAATCCATCCAGGTTGCCTATTACTCTGTGATAGGTTTTGCCATAGAGCCACAGAAACTATTCACTCCCTTGAATGGAAGCCTACCATCACTTCAAGATACCATCAGAATGATGGCCTTCTCTACTCCCATCCCAGGATGACTCATCCAATTCCTTCCTAGGAACACAACTTAAGAGAAAAAGCTGAAAAACAAACAGTATCAGGGCAGGGGAGTGATCCCTCACTAGCAATGTTTCCTTTATTTCCTGTCTTTAGGATAGACAGGAAAGAAGAAAGAAGCAGTTGTGGGTAAAAGGAGAAGATGTAGCCTCGGGAAATAGCAAAAACGGCCTAAGTCTCTGGATATTTATATGTGTCCTACTTAATTTTCAGGGTAACAGCTCCTTAAGGACAGGGTCTTCTATCTGCATATTATATACAGCATTTAAAACAATGCACATGTTTAATAGTAACTATCACCGTGTTAGTTTTAAACTAAGCTATTTTTAAAGTAAAGATCATCCGCATGAACATACAGAACGCTAGAGATGCCAAACAAATTACATTAACTGCAATTGTGTTATATCCTTAGCAGACATCTAACAACCCACTGACAACCGGATGAGACTCGTGAATAAACCTCCTCTGCAGTTTAGTGTGCCTCAGAGCCTTCACAGGTGCAACTAATGGTGTGTTGCCCCAACTGCTTCTAGTACAGAAATAAGTATATATTTTTTCACATTAGAGTAAGATCTTTTGAATATTTCAAATGCTCTTGTGTGTGAAGAGTGCAGGTATAGTTCATGTGACAAATCAAACTGATAGAAAGCTAACTTTTTACAAAAATGACTTGTGCTCAGCAAAACATAGGTATATAAGCTATACACAATTAAAAAAACCTGACAGGAAGGACAGAGAACTCTTTTCACATTCAAGGAAGCAAGTACACCACACAGGTCTATCACACAATGGTGCAGGCTTTTCCAGTATGTTCCATTTTCATAGCAGCAGCTAACATCTTTGAAAACAGAAGCAACCTTGAAGAAACTCCAGCTGTCTTTTGTACCCAGAAATCCTTTCTACTCTCATATAATGATTCTTTCATCATAGTCAAAAGTTCAAGGCATGGCATATTTGATAAATGCATCTTATCTGATGTGACAGTTACCATAGTAACTATTCTTTTCTCATTTAACAATTAAGTGTCAAGTCATCAAAATTATGCACCCATATTCTACCTTCTTCTCATTGGTGTCTCCTTCATACACTCCTTTTCATACCAGTTTTCATAAATTAACATGATTTTGTTCATCCAAGCTCATTCTGAAATTCAATCACTAACTTGCTGAAATTTGAAAAAGGCTTCAGAATGGGGATACTGATAAATCTAAGTATTCACTTCAGTGTACGAGCACAGCAAAGGTGTAAGGTACTGGAAAATGATGCTGCTCACGGATGGCTCAAGGAGTCTGTCATTACCTCACAGGCCTGCAACATATCCTCTTCATGCATGAATTTTTAAGAATTTAGGCCATGCATCTAAGAAAAGGACATACAAATCAAGCTTCTGAGAACAAAATAAGTTCATCAACTAAGCCTCTTAATAATTATGTAAGTCAAAGAAACCTTGAGAGAAATTTGAAAAGAAATGTTAAATCTTGCTTACTGAGCAGCAGGAACGCATTACTATATTACCCGGATATCTCTGAAATGACAGGCACTATCCTAAATCACTTTAAACTTATGAAAGCGTATGAAGAACCACAACTCCCCTCCTTTAATGGTCTTTTCACTCATGTTAAAACTGAACTAAATTGTATTTATGAAATATCACTATCTAATCTGTTCTAATGAATAGTTAATTGTTTACCTAATATTTCTTGAAACTACCAAGATAAATTTTATTCATGGACCATAGAACTTTTAATACTATGCTTTAAAACAAAAGTTTTTTTAATTGAAGGACTTTTTCTTTTTTCTTAATTTGAAAATTGTTCTCAAAATACATGCTCACCTGCACTGGGATGCCAGCTGACACAGGAGGGTAATGTGCTGGAGGGTGGAGCTTTGAATAGACCGAATATACTGGTGCTTCATTCACCAATTTGTTATACAGTTCCACAGCTTCCAAGACTTTTACATTCAACTCAGACAATTCTGAATGTTTCCTGATATAGAAGAAAGGCACATTAATAATCTTCAAAATTTTACACATGTATTTAGCAACATAAACTTTTTTTTTAGAGGATTTCTGACTTCAAAGTGTGTGATCTTTTTTTTTTAATTTTTGTTTTATTGTTGTAATTGAATGAAGTTTACATTTCAAGTTAGTCTCCCATACAGAAATTTTCTTTTAACATACATTGTTATAAGACCCCAAGGGCTCACCCCATTCTGCGACAGTACACTCCTCCCCTCCGCCTGATTCCACGTGAACATTCAACCAGCTCCTAACTCTCTCTGCCCTCCCATCTCACGTCTGCACAGAAGCCGCCCCTTTGGTCACTTGTATCTACTTGCCTAAGAGGCACATTCTTCACAAGTATCACTTTATGTCCCACAGCCCAGTCCAATCCCTGTCGGAAGAGTTGGCCTCGGAAACTGTTTCAGTCGTAAACTGTTTTTTAAATTTAGCACATTTTCTATTCGTATTTTAAAAGATTCTTTTTATACACAATGAAAGAATATGCACAAAGGGAAACTAAGAGGAGGGACTATTTAATTCTTGTAATAGCTAGGTTGATATGACTTCACAATTACTAGGGAAAGTCCTTTCACGCCTCATAAAATGCAATTCATAATTTTGGTTCTAGAAGAATTTTGTTGCCTATTTTAAAAGGTTTCTGTTATAAAGAATAATTTCTTAATCTAGGTAAGAGTCCAAGCCTTAATTATACATCTCAGTAGAGGAAAGCACTACAGCAAAGCCGAGAGCCTGTTCTGAAGGGATACGACTAAAATAAACACACAAACACTTTCAGAAAATCACACACATTTTCATTTGTTTATATTCATGAAAGGATCAACTGAAAAAAAAGTAATTAAATAATTACCCTTGAAAATGCAAGTGAAAACACATGTATATAAGCTAATCTCTACTGCTCATTTGTTGGTTTGCTTTTGAGAAAATGAGCGAAATCAAGTATCATTGTATAATAACAGCAAATCCAAATAAGAGCATTTTCAAATTTGCCCAAGGAACTCCAGAGCAAATTCTTCTGACTTGGTACAATTTTGCCTGTTCCCCTGGGAGTAAGAAGAAACTCTTTGCAATTGACGTTTACAGAAGTTAAACGGCCACTTTTTAATCTGGCCTAAAGCATCCACAAGCCTGCTTATTAAATGTGGCTCTTTCTATATGTACATAGAGAGGAGAGAGATAAGAGCGAGAAGCAGGCAAACAGATCCAGGGCTACCAGGTAAATGACCTGGACTGAGTCTTGGCACCTTTCCTATGTTAGAATCTGCTATTTCTTAACAACAACAACAAAAAAGTGCTTGTTTCTTCTCTTGCACGTGTGACTTCAAACTCTAGTTTCAGAAAATACCAGTTGCAAACCACACAGGAAGCTTCAGAAATTAGTGACCATGCTAACAGACGTGTGATTAAGAATTAACCAGAAAAATTTGGTCTCCATAAACCCAGAACGATGATGAAACACAGGAGAAGGCAACAGAAGGGCACGACTGTCTGAAATCAACTTCAAACAATAAAAATTGTTTACTGAGCTGTGCCCAACACTTTGTTAAGAGAGAGAAAATTAAGCAGAAAGTGTGGTTTTCTCTCTCAAAGAGGCTGCAATCTACTAGGGAGACACGGTTAACAACATGAAAAATGGCAAATGATACAAGATAGCATGTAAGTGAATGAAAGATTATATGAAATAGCTAGGAAAGAGAAGAGTTTAGAGGATAGGAAGATCACTTTGGGCTGTGGTAAACTGAAAGGGCTTTACGGAGAAGCTGGCACGTAAGCCAGCAGCTGAGAAAGGATGGACAGGCAAAGTAGAACAGGAAAAACACGTCACGTCAGTATAGATAAAGGCAGGCAAAGGAATGAGCAGGGTACACTGGGGAAGAATGAAAAAAGTATCTTGATCGAGGTGGTGGAAAATGACTTTTGGAGGGTAAGAAGAAATTAGATTAGAAAAGTCTGGAACATCGCTAAGTCCAGACTATTGATCTCCTATTAGTAAAGCTATCTAAGCTTTTTTGGAGTCAATTTACATCTTTACCCAATACATTTCTTAAGAGTTATAAATGCTACAAAGTCTCATTCTGTACAATGACAGCTAAAAGTGAGATTTAAAATTTAATTGCCTGACAGTTTTGTTCTTCATAGGAGTAACAAACTGATAATAATCCATTCAGGAAAAAAATCCACATAGACAAAAGGAACTTCAATGATCTTCAAATTTTTAAGCATGTATTTAGCAACAGAAATTATTTTTTAAATTTAGCACACAAATAATACTTTATTCATCACTGAAGACTCAACAATTGTAGTCAATAGAAAATTTGCTTAAAAAACCAGCAAGCATTTTCCAGAACACGAGCTGCATCTACAGTCAGTGGTCATGGAACAAGAAAACACCGGTTGGGCAATTCAGAAACTGATGAGAAAACTGGTTAACAGCTGAGAACTCACTCAAAAACAGGCTCATATCAGAAAAGGTTGCTCTGAATTTTAATTCTTCTAGATTTTTTTCTTTGAAGATATTCTTTTTACCAACAAAAAATTAAGCTATCATGTCTTCTGCATATTATGACAGCTTTCCATGTCAACAGGTACTTACCAATGACAATGCTTTTCACTGCAGAATGTATAAATAGATAAATTTAAACCAATCTCACACTGAAAGACATTTTAGTTACTTCCAAATTTGTTGTCATAAATAATATTTTAATGGACACCCTAAGAGCTAAACGTCTGCATACGTTGTTGTCGTTGTTAGGTGGGGTCGAGTTGGTTCCAACTCACAGTGACCCCATGTACAAGAGAACAGAACACTGCCCAGTCTTGTGCCATCCTCACAATCTTTGCTATGTTTGAGACCATTGTTGTAGCCACTGTGTCAATCCATCTCGTTGAGGGTCTTCCTCTTCTCCGCTGACTCTCCACCTTATCAAGCAAGATGTCTTTCTCCAGAGACTGGTCCCTCCTGATAACATGTTCAAAGTACATGAGATGTCTTCCAAGGAGCACTCTGGCTATACTTCTTCCGAGAGAGACTTGTTCATTCTGGCATTCCATGGTATATTCAATATTCTTCCCCAACACCACAATTTAAAGCATCAATTCTTCTTTGGTCTTCCTTATCCACTGTTCAGCTTTCACATGCATATGAGGCGACTGAAATATCATGGCTTGAGTCAGGTTCATCTTAGTCCTCAAACTGACATTTTTGCTTTTCAGCACATTTGCCCAATGCAATTGGTCATTTCATTTCTTGACTGCTGTTTCAATGGGTATTGATTGTGGATTCAAGTAAAATGAAATCCTTGACAACGTCAATGTTTGCTCTGTTGCTTATTGGTCCAGTTGTGAGGATATATATATATTCTAATGTTGAGGTATAATCCATACTGAAGGCTACAGTCTTTGATCTTCATCAGTAAGTAATTCAAGTCCTCTTCACTTTCAGAAAGCAAAGTTGTGTCATCTGCATATTGTAGGTTGTTAATGAGTCTTCCTCCAATCCTGATGCCACATTGTTCTTCACATAGTCCATTTTTTTTGGATTATTTGCTCAGCACACAGATAAAATAAGCGTAGTGAAAGGATACAATCCTGACACACACCTTTCCTGACTTTAAACCACACAGTACCCCCTTGTTCTGTTGAAACGACTGCCCCTTGGTCTATGTACAGGTTATGCAGGAGCACAATTAAGTGTTCTGGAATTCCCATTCTTCACAATGTTATCCATTAATTTGTTATGACCACATAGTCGAATGCCTTTGCATAGTCAATAAAACACAGATAAACATCTTTCTGGTATTTTCTGCTTTCAGCCAAGATCCATCTGACATCAGCAATGATATCCTTCATTCCACGTCTCTTCTGAATCTGGCTTGAATGTCTGGCAGTTCCCTGTCAATGTATTGCTGTGAATGTTTTTTAATTATCTTCAGCAAAATTTTACTTGCATGTGATATTAATGATATTGTTCAATAATTTCCACATTCTGTTACATCATCTTTCTTTGGAATGGGCACAAATATGGACTTCTTTCAGTTGCTTGGCCAGGTAGCTGACTCCCAATTTCTTGGCACAGACGAGTGAACACCTCCAGCGCTGCATCTGTTTGTTGAAACATCTCAATTGGTATTCTATCAATTCCTGAAGGTTTGTTTTTCACCAATGCCTTCAGTGCAGCTTGGACATCCTTCTTTAATACCATCAGTTCTTGATCATATGCTATCTCCTGAAATGGCTGAATGTCGATCAATTATTTTTGGTACACTGACTCTTTGTATTCCTTCCATCTTCTTTTGATGCTTCCTGCATCGTTCAATATTTTGTCCATAGAATTCTCCAATATTGTAATTTGAGGATTGAATTTTTTCTTCTGTTCTTTCAGCTTGAGAAATGCTGAATGATCTTTGCACACTTCATTATAACACTTTACTTTGTCTTCTCCAGCCGTCCTATGAAATCTTCTGTTTAGCTCTTTTACTTCATTTCCTCCATTCACTTTAGCTGTTCTATGTCCAAGAGCAAGTTTCAGAGTCTCTTCTGACATTCATTTTGGTCTTTTCTTTCTTTGCTGTCTTTTAATGACCTTTGTATGATGTCCTCGATTGTCATTCCACAACTCATCTGGTGTTCGGTCATTAGTGTTCAATTCATCAAATCTATTCTTGAGATGGTCTCTAAATTCAGGTGGGATATACTCAAGGTTGTGCTTTGACTCTTGTGAACTTGTTTTAATTTTCTTCAGCTTCGACTTGAACTTGCATATCAGTAATTGATGGTCTTTACATATATCCCTGTATATTTAGTATGGGCTTGAAACTGCTGGGTTGATAGGACATAGACTTCTTTTAGGTTCCAAAAAGGTTTATAAAAATTGTAATCCTAGCCACACCTACGCATATGCATGGGAAAGCTTGACAATGAATAAAGAAGACCAAAGAAGAATGGAGGCCTTTGAATTATGGTATTGGCAGAGAATACTGACTGCCAGAAGAACGAACAAATCTGTCTTGGAAGAAGTACACTGAGAATACTCCTTAGAAGCGAGGATGGCGAAACTTCCGCTCATGTACTTTGGACTTGTTATCAGGAGGGGCCAGTCCCTGGAGAAGGACATCATGTTTGGTAAAGTAGAGGGTCAGCGAAAAAGAGGAAGACCTTCAACGAGATGGACTGAGACACAGTGGCTGCAACAATGGGCTCAAACATAGCAATGATTGTGAGGATAGCACAGGACTAGGCAGTGTTTCATTCTGCTGTACAAATGGTCACTGAGTTGGAACCAACTCGACGGCACCTAAAAACAACTCATTTTTCAGTGGAAAAATAGAATTTAAGAAAAATACCCCCATCGAACAAAGATTACTAATTCAGTGACTGGGAGGAGTCTTGCTACTGCACTTCTCTGGTAGAAGCAGTTAAGAAAGAGTATAGTTGCTATCTCCTTGCTGCTTTGGTCTTACCTAATCCCTTCATCTTGGGCTGTTTTATAAAGTAGCTTAATAAATAGGCAGCAGAAAGGGATAGAGATGACAGAACAGTAAGACCTTATCCCTTGTCTTCCATTAACTATGGATTCTCCCTTCAACTTCAGAGAGAAAGCTCTGAGGAGTAAGAGAAGGGGGCAGAACTAAGTTAAGAGCTCAGAACCCTGATAGCCAATTACTCAGTGCTGTTGCTATTTCTAAGGAACAGGGAAACTAGATGAGATAACAAAATTAAAAGAGCAAGAGAAAGATAAAAATACAAGGAAGAGAAATGGTAAGAGAAGAAGTTGTGTTGCATTGGATTTAGCTTCACAAATACTAGGGAATTTAATCTGAAATTTTTACAAGTACCCCTTGTCATTGCATAACAGATGAGCTCTTGCCTAAGCATTTTATTTTCCCATTTTATGCTTTATTCATTATTTATTATCCCCTCAATGCCAGCCCAAGTAAGAAAATAAAGATCAGCGCTATGAGTGCAAGAGTCCATGATTCTAAGCACACTAAATTGCCATGGGTGGGCAGGGGAGGTGGGGGGATGCTACCAAAATAAGTACCACCACCTTGCTATCAATTCTGTAAGAGCATGGGAAACTGAAAAGCAATTCCAACAGATTGTACAATTCCACAAAAACTTCCTCAGTTTAAAGTTAGGCCAAAAACAAGTAAACACAAGTAAACTATACATTTCATTGCTTGTGTGAAAAGTCTCACCTATCAATCTCTTCAAGTTTTTCATCTATCATTGGACCCATCTGTTGACAGATATCTGTAAATATAAAAATACTTACAAATCTAGAACGTTAAGCCAGTTTCAACAATTTTTAACAACAAAGCACCAATCTCTAACCAGGCACAATGCACAGAGAATTAAGTCTATGCTAGAGAAAGGACTGCAAAAGATCTAATTTTAATACTATTCAGCACCCATATGAACATCATGTGACCAAACGCAACGTCAAAATTAAAACAGAAATCCCACAGTGTTCCTTGGGAACTATTAAACAAGTTTAAAGACTGAAATTTGGAGTCATCCCAAAGTCTTAAAAATACACAGAAAACTATTATTATCTAAGTAAAATGAATTTCAGCCAGAGTACATAAAATATGTAACCATGTGCAGATAGATATGAACATATTTCATTATATTTAAGCCACTTCAAAATCACACATTTTGTGTATTTCCAAATGTAAACACTGATACAATGAATAGCACAATATTCTATATTCATAGTCAGACTTTTTCTATAAAAAGATTTATCCATTTACCACAGAGATATTTCTTCCAAAGGATTAAAAAAAGTAAGACCTTTGTTTTAACTGCTTCAGGTCTTCTTCAGGACTAAAATATACATCAGCATACATCCAATGACTAGATTACAAAGTTATCACTGATCACATATAATTTTGATCTTTAAAATCATGATACAAGAGAATTAAAACAGGAATAAAATTTTCTAAAATTTTGACTCAATTAATACACTGTTATTTCTAATTTCTTGTTTTTTGGATTGCAGTTCTCTTCAGCCAGTTTCACTGGTGGGCTTACAGAAATACAAAGACTTCTGTTTTCAAAAGGATGTGAAGGTTTATGATGACACCTTCCAAGTAATACTTCTACTATTTTACTAGTCTACTCCCCACCATAAATTTATTTCTAATTTCTAGAAGCAAACACAAGGCAGAAGACATAATGACTAGATGACATTAAAGTAATCCCTAATATTCACTAAGTACCTTCTAAGTCCAAGAGGTCTTGGGAGTCTGGTTTTGAATCTGTTGGATCTATACTCTGGAGTACCTGCAGGGCTCTATCCATCTTATCCTAAAAAAGTAACAGGGCACTTTAGTAACTCAAAGGAGTTTTAACTTCAGTGAATATAAAGATTACTCTTTCCACACATTCTCAAGGATATAAAACACATTTTAAAAGTCTTGATAGTTTAATTATTAAACAAAAGAAGGCCTCTACCTCATCTATATAAACAGGCTCAGGCTCTGATTTCTTAATTTCCTCCACATCATCATCAGTTACATTCAATTGGTCCACAGCTGCTATGGAAACAAAGTAAACTATAAGTTCTTCAGTATTGGGTATTTTAATCATTCATTTATAAGTAGCCCATGATTACTCATTAAAAAAAAAAAAAAAGGAAGCCCTTTAAATAGTCATCACAGTTCATCATCAACATATATTACATACATTCACTCATTCATGTCACAAATATTTATTTTGTACTTACTGTGTGCCAGGCATTATTCTAGGCACTGAGAATAACATGAGTGAATAAAACAGACAAGAATGCTGCCCTCAAGGAACTTACACTCTAGTGGAACAAGAGAGCAACATAAATGGGAGCTGTCATTACAGGCATTTCCCTGGAAACTGAGTGTTACACCTGGAGTGAATAAATACATAAGAGAATAGATTATCTATTTAGCTAATTTCAGAGTTAAATTTATGAGTTATTTCTACACTCCTCTCTTGTTATAAAAAATTATTTCTTATATGAAAAAAATAGACCTGATTTCAACCTAACTTCGATAATAGTTAAAACACACACAAAATAAAACCCTTTCATAAAGAGGTTAAAAAATAATTTACAAATACATATAAACTATTGAAATGTTCACTGGAATACTGCTAGGATGTACTGTATTTTAATAAATTTTGGTATAAATAAAATTACAATAAAAATCTTTTTTTACTGTAATTGTATTTATACCAAAATTTAAGTCCAAAGGATTTTTAAGTCCCAACAGTTAGCCATCTCTTTCAGTATAAGTACATTCTAAGATCAGATTGGTTGACTTTAGAATCCTGGCTCTATCACTAACTAGTCACATAACCCTTCAGCCTCAGTTTCCTTATCTGTAAAATGGGATAACAAAAGGACCTAGCTCACAGAGCTGTTGTGAGAATGAGATAGTGCAGACAAAAGACTTGGTGCAATGCCTGACAAATAGTGCATGCTCAAAAACTGTTAGCCATTACTTCTGATCATCATCATCGTTAGTATTATCACCTGTTTCTTCACATTCAGCTCCCCTACTTCCCTGCCTGCGTTTAAGAACTGGAATGCTTTCTCAGCAAGGCGGACATCAACTGAGGAGTACCGTATACTGCTGCAGAACTGAGTGAAGCTCAGAAGAAACCAGCCAGGCACATAAGGGTCTTGATTATACCACTTTATTATTGCTTTAAGTTCCCTCGGATTAAGTCAATGTGAGAAAAAGTCTAAAACTGAGGAGTACTCCTAACCCCTGCCATCACACTCAGCACTTGCTCACCAAGCCCCCGCACACCCACTCCTCAACACACTGTGGTTCAGTGATGAATAACAACAATACTCTTTGTATTGCACAGACACAAACTGCCTCACTATATAACGAGGTCAAAATATTTACATGGTCACAGACGATTTTGTGCCTGATTATTTAATTGTTGATTCTCAGAGAATTTAAAATGTGATAAGGAAACTGTTCCTGGAATTGACCTGGGATAAGTTAATAACCCCTTAACTTGATAAGAAATCAGTCAAATTGTAATGCCTATCAATAAATAATTTAAAACAAGAGTTAAATGCTAATGATTCCAGTTACCATGAACCGCACTTACGACATCTTTTTTTTTTCTGGTACATCTGGTGGCGTAATGGTTAAGAGCTACATCTGCTAACCAAAAGGTCAGCAGCTCGAATCCACCAGGTGCTCTTTGGAAACTATGGGGGCAGTTCCACTCTGTCCCAATAGGGTTGCTATGAGTCGGAATCAACTCGATGGCAACGGGTTTGGGTTTTTTTTTTTCCCCTTATCATTAGTAATACGTACCACATACAACATCGCGGGGTGTAATCTGATGTTATCGTTCTCATGTCAATCCCCAAAGACAAATAAAGATTGGATTTATAAAGATACTGATAATAAAAGGCAATCATAATGAAAACTAAAAAAAAAAAAGGTATTCGACTTACTTTAGAACCTAATTAGACAGAGCTGTCAGAACAGAAATATGTTGTAAGTTGGGGGACTACCTGTACTCAAAACTGAACCATAAAATTCAAGCGTAAAATACTTTAATAAATTTAACCTTCTCTAAGATTTAACTTACCTGCCTCAGACTCTATATTTAAATTTGTTGTTACAAAATTAGATGGGAAGAGTCCTACTCCTCTGTGATTTTCTCCTTTCCACCAGTTGGCATCACTGAAAATACAGTGCAAAAATGTCATTTGTTTCTCTATGTTTGAGTACATTAGTGTTAAGAGGAATGAAAATACAAATTAAATTTAGCCTACTTTGAAAATACTAGTTCATATTCAGCTATATTTATAGTCTTTCTCCTTATTTAATAAAAAATATAGGAAAGTACAAATAAAACAAACATCCATATTCCCATACTTGGCTTTAAAACTAATTAGCAATTGCTCTTATTTGGTTCTGGGCTTTTAATAAAACATTATAGTTAAAGCTGAAATCCCCTTTATCAACAACCTCAAATCCCAAACTCACATCCATCCTAACACACCACCACCATCATCTCATCCATTTAGTCTTTCACATGTATCTATACCGAACTCTCTATACAGATGTTAATCTTTATATATCTTGTTCATCTTGTCTATTAATGCTTTTTAGATATTACTTTTATCCCTTTTAAATTATAAAGTTTCATCACATGAATATGTCATATTTAATTTACCCATTACTGTATGGACATTTAGGTTGTTTCCACTGTTTCACCATTATAAACACTGGAGTAATGATCATTCTAGATTCTCGGGCACACCTACAACAGTTTCTCTGGGCTTATTCACATGGAATTGCTGGGCCACAGTATATAAACACTTTGAATTTCACTAGGAATTGCCAAATGTTCCCTGAAGTGGCTATACCCATTGATATTCCTCCCTCCCTGAGCAGTATGTTAGAATATCATACAAGATAATTCCCCAAGCCAACACGTGACAACAGATAATAGAGAAACAACACTTCATTGTTGTACTCATTTGCATTTCTAGTCAGCTCCCCACTAGAGATTTACTTCTAGTTTCTAGAAGCCAACACAAAGCAGAAGAAATCTGCTGTGTGTTTGCTGGTCATTCAGACTGCGTCTTCTCTAACAGGCTTGTTCCTATCTTTTGTCCATTATTCTTTTTCCCACTGTGTCAGTTGTCTTTTTCATGGATTTGTAAGGGTTCTTTGCATATTCTGAATAGCAAGTGATTGTCTGAATTATGCAAATACATTCCCTCAGAATCTTACTTGTCTTTTAATGGGTTTATGGTTTCTTTTACTCTATGGTGTTTTCCCCCATGTGATCAAATTTAGCAATTTTCCTTTGCGGTTTACACTTTGAAGAAATCTTTCTCTACCCTTGAACTCAGAAATTGATTCTCCTAAGTGCTTTTCTAGTTTTGGATTGTCTTTTTTTAATCCCCCTCCCATGTTTAGGTCTTTAATTTACCCAGAATTAAAATTTATAGACTGTGTAAAGCTGAATTAAGTTTTATTTGTACCATATAAAGAGTCAAGCATCCCAGAAAAAATTTTAGGACGAGTCCACCATTTTTTCTACTGATTTATAACACCTTATCTTTCAAAGAGCAAGCTGCTCTCTGTTCATGAGTGTATTTTTGGATTCCATTCTGTTGTAATGGTATACATGTCTACTTACTACAGCGTGTAAATACGCCTAGATACCTGGTCAAGAAAGTACTCTCTCTATATTATTCTTTTTCATCTATTGTCCATAATAATATTAAAATCTGTTTTTCAGGTTCTCTGGAAAAACTTCCTGTTGGGGTTTTAACTGGAGATGCACTGAATTTATCAGTAAGTGCAGGAAAAATTAAATCTTTACAAAATTAAACAAGGTATCTCTCTCCATTTATTCAGATTTTCTTTTACATCTTTCAAAGACTTTTATAATTTTCTCCAGATAGGCCTTACATGTCTTTGTTAGATTTGTTTTTTACTAGACAATTTCTTGTAATTTTTGTTACTACAGTGTTTTTATAAATCAGGCACACCCTTTGAGTTTGCCGGCCACGCCCTCCCCTGGTGAGGCAGCCTCACAAGCACCGCCATGCCAATCCTCTTCCATATGTTGCTGTAAAAAAAGAATTAGCATAGTGCACTTACAAAAATACCTTGTGGGGGGAGGGCAGAGTCAACAAACGCTGAAGGCGCACGTAGTATTGGGAATGGTATTTTTTCGATTTCCTTTTCTAATTACCATATTTTTATACAAATAATGCACACTTTCTGTATTTGTTTGCCTGCCGTGCCCTCCCCCGGCGAGGTATTTTTGTAAGTGTGTTAATTTCTTTTAACAGCAATATGTGGAAGAGGACTGGCATGGAGGCACTCATGAGGACACCTCAAAGGGGGAGGCGCAGCAGGCAAACAAATGAAGAAGGCTGCATTACTTGCATAAAATACGGTAGCTGTGTTTAGAGTAAAGCATATTACCAATTTTTATATGATGAGCTTGTTTCCAACAACTTTGATAAACTCTAATCAGTTTTATTGGTTTATCCATTGATTGTCTTGGGCTTTCTATATGGACAATCACAGTTATCTGCAAATAATAATATTGTCTCTTAAAATTTTACTTACTGGATAGGGGTTCTAAGGATGAATTCACTTCTAGGATTCTAAAATATCATTTCATTTATAACTATCAGAAGATATGAAAGAGCTATACCAACAAAAGAACCAGTCGCCATCGAGTCAATTCCAACTCACAGCAACCCTACGAGGACAGAGGAGAACTGCCCCACAGGGTTTCCAAGAGCGCCTGGTGGATTTGAACTGCCGACCTATACATCTCCCAAATTCCTAAAACCATAAAATAATGGCTGTGTTGACAATTCTAAGATATCATATCTGCTGTTGATTATTTAGGATTAAGAGAAATTCCCTTTCCCTCTCTTGTAGCATAATTTACCTCCTGGATGAAGCATAAAGGTAATCAACCAAATGCCATTTCAAAGCACTGACTCCCTTCCAACCCTAATCCATCTGTTGCTATATTCTTTCTATTAATTAACAGTTGATTCCATGAAACATTAATGGCATAAAGTATTGTTCAATTTTAAATTCCTCAACTAGGGTCATTCAGTGCTGTAATTTTACACGAAGCTTTTGATAATTAAGGAAAATTTAAATGCTGCATTTATTTTTAGACCTTTTATATTACGGAAGAGAATATATTACAACAGAGTGAAAAATGATGTAAATGTAAGGGGCATAAACTTTATCTTCAACAAACTGTTTATTCAGCTAACTTTATTGAAAGCCTACCAAAAAGGGGATAATAGCTGAGCACTAAAGTTACAAAGACCATTAAGACATACTTTCTGCCCTCAAGAAACTTATAATCTAGCACGTTGTTTTGCAATCACCCCCACCAACTAAGACGATATTACCTGGTTTACATTCTAGGATTTGTTTTCCCATTCCCCTACCTCCAAACCAGGAAAGTGCTGACCCTCTTTAGAATCAACTGATCTAGCAGGAGAGACTTTTGTAAACAAGTAATTGCAATGCAGTGTAAGAAACGCTAGAACATAGGTTCAAGGATTTATAGCAGCACAGAGGTTTGGAATTTCTAACTGTATTGGGAATTAAAGGCAGAAAGGGTTTGAAGAATTCTAAGAGGATGTAAAATTTGACCTAAGTCTTGAAGGTTAAGTAGGCATCCACTAGGAGGAAAGAGGCAATTAGGGCTCCAGAAACAAAAACGATGTTTTGCCCTGCTATCGTCTGGATACAGCCCTTGTGGCACAGTAGTAAAGAGCTCAAGCTGCTAATCAAAAGGTCGCCAGTTCAAATCCACCAGCCATTCCTCAGAAACCCTATAAAGCAGTTCTACTCTGTCCTATAGGGTTGCTATGAGTCAGAATCGACTCAACAGCAATAGGTTTGGTTTGGTTATCATTTGGATAAGCAAGAAAATAAAAAATTTTGCACACTGAGATAAAAAATAAAGTCATACTATCTAGTTTTAGGTCTCAAAATAAATGAAAACTTGAACCTTTTCTTTTAGCTACCGACTTCTTAGCAAAAACAACTTATTTGCTGACTTTCGCAGTGATGATCAGGGTATGATAGTCATGGGAGAAAACTTATTTCTACCATGAACTTACCAACTATAAACGTGGTAATCTTGTGTGTGAGGAAGGACGAGGGGTTCTTTTAAATACTGTTTTACTTTTTTATTGGGAAGCCAACCCTTCTAAAGTCTAGGCTCCCTTGCAAACCTTACTTGCAAGTAAAATTCCTTTTCTAAATGCTTTTGCCTCTTTTGACAGAGTTTTCCAGGCAGAGAGAACCAAATGTACAATGCCACAGAGATCTAATCAGAACATGGCATTTTTGGAACTGTAAGAGTTCCACTTGATTATTTGAAATGGTACTTAGAGAACAAACAAGGACTGGTGAGATAAAGCTAAAAACAGAAAATGAAGGGCTTTTTGGGTATATTCTGTTAATAAAAAACAATGCCTTTTCTATCCACTCAGTGTTTTATTTAATTGTGCTTTAGATGAAAGTTTATAGAGCAAATTAGTTTCTCATTAAACAATACACATATTGTTTTGTGACACTGGTTGCCACCCCACAACATGTCAACACTCTCCCCTTCTCAACCTTGCGTTCCCCATTACCAGCTTTCCTGTCCCCTCCTGCCTTCTAGTCCTTGCCCCTGGGCTGGTGTGCCCATTTAGTCTCATTTTGTTTTATGGGCCTGTCTAATCTTTGGCCGAAGGGTGAACCTCAGGAGTGACTTCAGTACTGAGTTAAAAGAGTGTCTGGGGGCCATACTCTTGGGGTTTCTCCAGTCTCTTGTCAGACCAGTAAGTCTGATCTTTTTTTCGTGAGCTAGTATTTTGTTCTACACTTTTCTCGGCTCTGTCCAGTACCCTCATTGCGATCCCTGTCAGAGCAGTCAGTGGTGGTAGCCACGCACTATCTAGTTGTGCTGGACTCAGTCTGGGGGAGGCTGTGGTAATTGTGGTCCGTTAGTCCTTTGAACCAATCTTTCCCTTCTGTCTTTGCTTTTTTTTAATTCTCCCTTGCTCCAGACGAGGTGAGACCAGTGGAGTATCTTAGATGGCCATTCACAGGCTTTTAAGACTCCAGACACTACTCACCAAAGTAGGATGTAGAATATTTTGTTTATAAACTATGTTATGCCAATTGAGCTAGATGTTCCTCAAGACTATGTTCCCCAGAGCCCTTAGCCCTGTAATTCCATCCCTCAGGGACTCTGGATGTGTCTATGGAGCTTCTATGAACTGCCTTGGCCAAGCTGCGCTGGCCTCCCCAGTATTGTGTACTGTCTTACCCTTCACCAAAGTTGTCACTTATCTATTGTCTAGTTAGTGTTTTTCCCTCCCCAACCCTCCCCTCCCTCCTAACCATCAAAGATGTTTCTTTTTGTTTGGAAACCTTTTCATGAGTTTTTATAGTAGTGGTCTCATACAATATTTGTCCTTTTGTGACTGACTTATTTCACTCAGCATAATGCCCTCCAGATTCATTCATGTTGTGAGATGTTTCACAGATTGATCATTATTCTTTATCATTGTGCAGTATTCCATCGTGTGTATGTACCATAGTCTGTTCATCCATTCATCTGCTGATGGACACTCAGGTTGTTTCCATCTTTTTGCTATTGTGAACAATGCTGCAATGAACATGGGTATGCGTATGTCTATTCCTATGATGGCTCTTATTTCTCTAGGATATATTCCTAGGAGTGGGATTGCTGGATCGTACGGTATTTCTATTTCTAGTTTTTTAAGGAAGCATCATATTGTTTTCCAAAATGGTTGTACCATTTTGCATTCCCACCAGCAGTGCATAAGAGTTCCAATCTCCCCGCAGCCTCTCTAACATTTGTTATTTTTTTGTTTTTTTGATTACTGCCAGTAATGTCGGGGTGAGTCAGTGTTTCTTAAATTGAAGTCCAAGGATGACATATTTCCAAGGGACCTCAAGTTCTATATGTGAAATTTTTAATTTTGTTCTTTCGTTTCCACAGCAATCTAGAAGCAATGAGTACAGTCATTTCCTGGATCATCTGGATAACCCCCTTTTAACCTAAGATTGCCAAATTGGATAATTTTAACATCCAAGTATGCATTTGTGCTTAAAATCTTGTCAGTAATAAGCAATCACCCAGGATGACAACATTAAACCCATAATGTATTGGTAAGCATGTTTGTGGCTACTGTAAAACTGGAGTGTCCTATCATCAAAATGACAGCAGTCGACCTACATATGCCATCATGTTGAATTCACGTTGAATTCTCTTAGCAGTTACAAAGAAAAGAGTTCTCTACTGCAGTGATCAAGTGTCAACTGAAAACAGTTTCATATGAGTCTGTTATTTAAGGAACTTGGGGTTTAATTAGACATCAGTGAAAAAAAGATGGTGCAGCATGGTAACATAAGCCTTTACTTGCTGCAGGCCAGTAGACTATATAGTAGGTATATAATGCATTGAGCCACATGAATGCCAAATGATGTCAAGGGATACTACATATATGAAAGCTTCATAGCAGTTAGAACAGAGGGAAGTCAAGAGGAGAACTGAGCTAGCACACAGCACAGGGTAGAACAGACCTGCCAAAGTACCTGTCCCATTAATTAGTACCATATTTACCTTGTCAACAGCAATTTATTCCAGCAAATATTTCTTATTACATAAAAGTAATGCTTTAAATTTGAATCTCAGAGGAAAAACTATTCATTTTGTAGTTTTATTTCTGTTTCTTTTATAAATGTCTTCAATCTTATAGTTGTATAAGAGTATTAGAAATGCGTAAACTTTTTATTTTTGGCATATATTCAAAGTAAGACTACACTCAGAAGCCTGACATTTCAGACCCTCAGTGTTCAGGTATCACATGCTCCACTCCTGATTATTAAAAAAAAAAAAAAAAATTAAGGAAAAAAAATCATTGTTTTCTAAATGAACACAGGGCTATCTTGGTTACAAAATTCTGCCTAAGAGATCTTCCTTTTCCTATTCTCAGTATTTTGCAAACATTTTTCTGTCCTGTCAAAAATCTGTCAAGGTTCACCCCAAATGAACCTCCTAGATGAGCCTTCTTTCCCACATGCCTGTATTGGGTGTAAATCTGCCTTCCTCTAGACCCTGACAGTACCTCTTTTATGGCATTGACCACATTCCACCTTCCTTACAATGTTAGGTAGACTAATTTTAACTTTCCTGCTATAGCCTAGGTTTTATGAAGACAGAACTACATCCTACCTCATCTTTTTTCATTACAAACAGAGCTTATTACATAATATTTCCTAAAAAAAAAAAAAATTACTAAAGCAAACTAACACCATTTTGTGTATCTAGCCATTTAAAAATATGCTACACTAGTGTGTCCTTACTAGTTATTTATAATGGATACCGAATATATTTGCAGCCTCTGTTTATAGCTACAAGCTGTTAGGTCTCACTTGCTAAATTTCATCAAGTTCTTATAAAAGCAAAATTAGGTAACAGAATTAGAGCCAATATAAATAAATATAGTCTCTATCAGAGCTTTAAGTGATAGAGAAATTATGAGGGAGAGCCCAGTAGATTAAGAATTGGGAAGTACTACAACATTATTCCCAATAGTTGAAAGATGGAAACAACCCAAGTGACCATCAACAGATGAATAAATAAGTAAAATCTGGTATATCCATACAATGGAGTATTATTCAGCCATAAAGAGAAATGAAGTTCTGATATATGCTATGACATGGATGAACCTTGAAAACATTATGCTGAGTGAAATAAGTCATACACAGAAGGAGAAATATTATACGATCCTACCCATATGAAATATCTAGATCAGGCAAATGCATAAGGACAAAAGTTTATTAGTGAGAAAAGGGAATGACAGTTATTGCTGAAGGCGTACTGAGTTTCCGTTTGGTGTAATGTTAAACTTTTGGAAATAGATGATGGTGTTGGTGGCACAACATGGTGAATGTAATTAATGTGAACGAAATGTACTTAAAAAGGGTTAAAATGGAAAACTTTTTGGTTTATGTCTTACCACAATAAACTTTTTTTTAATTAAGAAAAAAAAGAATTGGGGAGGAACCAAACATAGGTTTTGGTTGCTTTGATCAAAGGTTATATAGCTATATATCTGAAGTTTTTCTGCCAGTAATTTTGGTACAAACTACTCCTAATTGGTATAAACAACTCCCAAGGCAAATGCATTCCGATGACTGGGCATGTGTTTCCCAACTGTGGTCATCAACAACGTTATTTAATACATCTTTCATTCAAGATGTTAAAGGATATTTCTTTACCAAATTTAACAAAAGAAGAATAAGAAACTTTCATTCCTAGTCTAACCAGTGCTTATGTTAGAAAAAAAATAATTAAGGTACAAAGAGGCTCTATTATGACTTAACTACACCAAAGTCAAAGAACTGAATATTCAGGCCTCTGGACTTATACTCAATAACTTTAAACATTCCAGAAATAAATATTTAAAACATACCTGTCATCCAAAACAATAATAATTTCACCATGTTTAAAGGTGAGTTCATTGTCCTCAACAGCTTCAAAATCGTATAAAGCTCTCACTTTCCTTGCCGCCTTATTATTTAACTGAATTTCTGCAGATGGATATAAGGATTTTGTTTCTGTGTGCTGCTGCTTCTGCTCTTGCAATGATAACTCAATAGCTGGTTTGAAAATTAAAGTAAAAAAAAAGATAACCAGAATTAATTTTGATTTTAAAAAAAAGTTTAAAAAGAAATATTAGTTAACATATTTAATGAAAAGAAATTAAGTGAGTACTTCATTTGTCCAATTAAAATCTTAAAAAGTTAAGATTTTAACCTTTCTTGCAGGAGGGGGGAATGGAGGCAGAGAATCACGTCATTTTTTAAAATAAAGCTTTTGCTCACTCCTTATTATCATAGCCTGGCATATACAACAGCTATTATTTTTATAGGAAACAGATTGTGACATTATGAGTAGCTTTCCATATAGGACAAACCATGAACATATTTCTGTGCTTGACTCGTAACTTTGGCATTAAAGAAATGGTGAAATGTAATCTCTCCAAAGGTAGAACATTAATTACATACTATTGTTAAGGATAATGAATTAAATTCATTTTACACCACATCATTTCTCTACTTTTCAGACCCTACTAGTTTTTATGTCTAAGGTAGAACTAAAGTATAATCTATTTTTATTATAATTTTTATTTCAATAAAATGTTCTTCAAGAATACTTTTAAGCGACACTAAATTACACATGCTTGATCATTTACCTTTAGCTATGTCTTCATCTTCTTTGCTTTTGTTCGTTGATGCACCATTCCTGGCAGCAGCTGAGACAGTCTGTAAAAGCATGAGTAAAATGAACACAACCACCTCTTTCAGAGAAAATAAAGGCTCTATAATTACTTACACATGCTAATTTTTTAAAAAAATGATATAACTAATGAGTTTCATTTAAAAGTAAAGTTCTTTATGATAATTTAAGGTAGCTGTTTTCAAATACTAAAATAAAACATCTGAATTTTCAAGAAAACATTATAAGCTCACAAACGGCATGAAATGGCTTACATTTTGCATAAACCTAAGTGTCTCATACAGAACTTGGCATACACAAAGTACTCAAATACTTATACAATGATTAAATATGAATCTTTATTGATTGCATTTCTTGATTAATTGTCCAAGGTGTCTTACTCAATGAGAGAAGGCTATCTTCCTACAGGTGTATAGCTACAGAAGAAGTGCCAGCAAGAAGTCAGTGATAATCACTGGAGAGAAGAGGAGGCAACAAAGAGAAGAGAAGGGAGGACAGAGACATGTGCAGCTCTATGAACACCTTTTAAGCCCTTTTACTACTCATGATGGTCGGTGACTCTTCAATCACAGTAGAGGACAAAGGAAGGTAATGCTGAAATTTAATGGCACCTATTCTATTCAGACAGAGATGTTCAGGACTCTGAGCCATCAACCAGTTCTTTAACCCAGATTTTTGAGAACAATATGCAGAAGGACCAAACAGGAAAATGCCGGCTCTTTACTACTACAAATTTAGTCCCAAAACTCTACATTGAACTGTTGTAGCTATTATTGAGTGCCATCAAGTCAATTTTTGACTCATAGCACCCCCATGTGACAGAGTAGAACTGCCCCATAGGGTGTTCAAGGTTGTAATCTTTACAGGAGCAGATCACCAGGTCTTTCTCCCATGGAGCTGCTGGGTGTGTTTAAATCGTCAACCTTTAGGTTAGCAGTCAACCACTGCAGCAACAGAGCTTCTTCACTGAACCATCAGGGTGGTAAACTATGAAGATTCTATTTGTCCCTTTAGGCTACAGCCTAAAATAAAATACAGTACAACTCTCAGCCACTTTTCTGTAGCTCACATCCTAACACTGGATTTCAAAGTCTTACCAACCTAGAGGGCAGGAGCCAAACTCAAGATACAGTGTGTTTCTTCCACAGACCTAGATTAATAGCCCACTCTGTGACTCGTTATCCCTGCTTCCACCTTTGTCCTACTGTGGTGCAGTGAACTGCTTTTCTATGGCCCTTCTAGCCATGGTCTTGTAACTCCCACAAAATTGGGTGGGGCTATGCAAATAAGGTATGTAAAACTCTTGCTTGGATTGGCTGGCATATGCAAATAAGGTGCCTGTGGCCCACCAAGGGGATTGGTCAGTTTTGTCAACCAGCTAGGCTTAAAAGGAGCCAATCCCAGAGGCTGGGGAGGGGGACCTCACTACCATGAAGAAGAAGAGCTGGGTGCAGAGTGCATCCTTTGGACCCAGGGTCTCTGCACTGAGAACCTCCTAGACCCAGAAGACAGAGAGCTATAACACTGGAGACAAGCGAGACAGTGAGAACTGGAGGCAAGCATGGCAGAGTCCAGTGGCAGAGAAGCAGCGGCAGCAGAACCAGGAGACCAGCAGGCAACAGTGCGGTGGGCTCCCAGGTCCATGGAGCTAGGCAGCTACAGTTGGCATGCCAACCCACGGAGCAAAGGCCAAGAGCAAGGCCTGCCTGCCTGCTGGAATGGCAAAGAAGGAACTGAGAGGTTGAAAGCTGTTCTGACTGACGAACCGTATCCTGCCTCCTGAGCTGTTCCTGTTACTTCCAGGTTGATCCTGATCCCAAATTGCAACCTGTTCTTCCCTAATAAACCCCATAATTGTGAGTATGGTCTGTGAGTTCTATGTGGCCACTGCAATGAATTACCAAACCCAGCAGAGTAGTAGAGAGTGCCATGGGAGGAAGAGCTGGTGTCAGAATTGGCGAAAAGGCTGGACAGTGGAAATATGTCTGACCTCACCTCATAGAAATCAGCCTTGGTATGATGCTGACAGTGATTCTCCTCTCTCCCCCTGAAGTTAGACAAAGTCTGACGCTGCCACTCTTTTACACCTAGTAAAATTATCCCCTATGGCCCAAATAAATTTTGAGTCTTACAGTTCCACTCATCTTGTATATGAACCATTCACTCCAGACATATTCACTCTTTCATAAACAGGTCTTGAGCTTTCTCAATTCCATGTATTTTCTCATGTCATTCCTCCCGATACGGTGTCTTCACTCTTCTCTATCTTTTGAAATACACTAAAGTCCTAAAATTCTATGTTTTATGTGGTCCTCCTTCAGTACTAGAGTCTACAGTTCTCTCTCTCTGCTTGATATTAACAGAGATTGCATCTATTTTGTATCCCTCACCCCGTATTTATCACTTATACTTTAAATAAGTAATTTTTCCACATGTATATGGACACCCTTTGAATTACTATAAATGTCTTAAACACAGAGACTATATTACATATCAACGCCTTTTGCAAGACTTAGAGCAGTATTTAAAAAGATTAGGCATGGCTGTTGTACTTCTCAAAGTTCTTCTAATATTTAGAAGACATTCATTGAACAGTTAGAATGTCTATTAAATGTAAAGCACTAAATTACATAGGCATTGGAGGAGTGGAGGTGGGAAACATGATTAAGACACACCTTGCCTAGCTTTTACACAACATACATACACTCAAAACAGCACAGAGTCAACCATGAGTCAGAATGAATTTACCTGAGAACCTGCTGGAGGAAAAGTAATTCCTTCTTCTTTCATAGATTTAATAGTCGCAGATATCAGACTAAACTGAGGATCCTTCTGAAACTCTTCTGACCACTCCACCATTAAAGATTTCAGTTTTTCACACACTTTAGGATGAGCCTTTTAAAGTAAAAAAAAAAGAAAAAGAAAATAATAACCACAAAGCAAAGGAAAAAAATCAGTGGTTAAAGTAATCATTTAGATTATTTAGCTACCAAAAAAAACTACCATCAAAATTCTCTTTAATTATATGGGCATCAACAAAAATCTAGGGTTAATTCCTAGCCCATAATAATTGATAGATGCCTATTTCCATGTGAAGATACAACTGTTTCTTGCAAAATTAACCTCTTTGAGCATCAATTTCTAAGTCTTACTATGATTACAACAAATATTTTATATTCAGAGGTCATTTCTTCTCTGTTTTCTTAACATTCTCAGTATTAGATTAAGCTTTCATACCAATTAAACTAAAATTCTGGATTTTTGCCACTAATGGTAAGAAAACGGTATTTTAAAATTTCTGTCTCAAAGAAAACAAAAATAATAACGTGATAATGAAGCCCTCACCACCGGGCTCTAAAATAAAGGCACCTGCGCTTGTCATGGAAGTCAGTCCAGAAGTGGCTGGAGTCACAGAAACCTAAGTCTGAATCTTGGCAATGCCACTTACTATGGCATGACCTTGGAAAATTTACTTAACTTCTAAGCCTTTATCTAGTTTCTTCCTCTGTAAAATAGGAATACAAGCAGTCCCCAGGTTACAAACAAGATTTATTCCTAACTGTGCCTTGAAGTCAAATTTGTAGGTAAACTGGAACAGCTGCATATGGTTCTTATTTAGCCTTACTTTATGCAAGAAAAGGCTCAAAACCTTTTCAGTGATTTAAAAGCTGCGTGTGCAGCAAGTGAAGGTGATGGTGATGAAAAATTTCCTGCGAGTAGGGGTTGGCTCAACTGTTTCAAGGTGAAGACAAAAACACACAACATTGAAGGGCAGGTACGAGTTCAGACGTTAGTAAACCAGGGACTGACTATAACAAGAGAATCTAACTCAAAGGGCTGTTAAGAGCATTAAACAAGACAGTACATGTAAAATGTTTTAAAGCTGTGTCTGCTTACTATCCCTCAATAAAGATTAGGTATTATCAATAGTATTGTGTTTGGGGAAGAAAAACAGTTTATAGTGTTACAAATGAAAAACCAAATTTCAGAACAAGAATTTTATTTCATTTCAAACTTATCTAAAAATGATTTCATTCATAATACAACTTTATTAATGCTATATATAGTTAAAACAATATATAGTATATATTATTTTTTAACAACTTAAGCTTACTCTCTTTTTTAAAATTTACCTTATTTTTTATCACACCACGTACTTCTGTTGCAAAATCTCGGGAACATACTTCTAAATGAAATATCTTTCCACAGTTTGCCACACAAGCCCCAAGAAGCTATTAAATAAAATAAAAAATTAATACACAAATATTGAAATATTATCTTATTTAACCTGCTGAAATAAATAAACATTTTAAAAACTGGTTAAATAATAACATGACTTTTACTTACAGTTAATGCCTGAAGAGCAACATGAGGAACTTTATGATTTACCCTTTTCATTATGGCTTTTAGGCAATCTTTTGCTCTAAGGGGGGAAAAACATGGAGAATACTAAGTACTTATTCAGAATTTCAGCACAAACATTAAAACACAAACAAATAACTTTAAATAACTAAATAACTTTAAATTTAAAAATAAAATCTTGGCATTTACCACTTTGTTAAATAAATCTATAAAATGATTGTACACTATCTCATACTCACAGACTTACAGGAAATAATTTTTAAAAGCTTGTTGCAAAGGTTACATCTTCCAAAATCAAGAGAGAAATCATTACATAAAAGGTCAATCAACACAGGAGAATTATATAAACTATCTTTTCATTTCTTCAAGACAGACTTGGCTTCAAGAGCAAGTTTTCACCTTGAAGAAAAAAACTAGCAAGATATATAGTCTTGAAAGGTTCCAGTATAAACGTATGCGGATGTACTTTGGATAGCTGCAATGTGTTCAAACAAAGGCTTTCATCACTTTTCTAAACATTTAAAGTATAATCAGTTCAACGTAAAAGCCGCACCACCCCTCAGAAGCGCCCTTCTTTATATTTACTTTTTTCATTATATTTATCTATTCATTATTTAAAGGCTTTTTTGCTATAACCCCATTGCTGTCGAGTCGATTCCAACTCACAGCAACCTTACAGGACAGAGCAGAACTGCCCCATAAGGCTTCCAAGGAGCAGCTGGTGGATTCGACCTGCTGACCTTTGGGTTAGCAGCCGAACTCTTAACTACTGTGGCACCTTGTTGCTATATTACCTATTATATAATTATATTAATTTACTTCATTATTAGAAAGCTCCCATACCTGTCTAGGAAACCCTGGTGGCGTAGTGGTTAAGAGCTACGGCTGCTAACCAAGAGGTCCGCAGTTCGAATCCACCAGCAGCTCCTTGGAAACCCTATGGGGCAGTTCTACTCTGTCCCATAGGGTCGCTATGAATTGGAACTGACTCGACGGCAACGGGTTTTTTTTTTTTTTTAAATACCTGTCTAAGTCACAGAGAAATTCCATAAATAACTAGTCTATTCATCATTAACATGCATCCTTATTGTGTCATACCTCAGGCTTTCAGTTTGAACTCTTTTCCATTTGTTCATTCAAGATAATGCTTATCTCATAATCAGGCCTTCAGGCTCTCTTTACTTTCACCCCTCAAAAGTATATAGTAAAGTCCCGTTTTCCTTCCAAGGCTACAGCAGGAAAAGATACATAAGTTATCAAGCTCCTAGACATTCGCTGGGCATGACTGGGCATCTTACCCATTAGGAGTGCTTCCAACTTTGTCACATATGTCCATAATTAGACCCCAATCTTCGGCAGTGTTGTACTCATTCGTGGCCTTTTCTATAAGATATATTAACAGACACAAAAATTAGGACACATCTTACATAACACTAAAATACCAACAAAGGCGTAACAGTAAGAAGCCCTACCTTTCCTCCTGCCAAATATAAAAGAACCACAGAAAAAGATCCAAAGGTAGAATACTTCTACTAATTTCAACTTTAAATTGTGTATTTAAATATTCTGAGGTATGCCAATAAAATGCTTTCTAAATAGTTAAATAAAACTACATAAATTACAAATTATCAATAATCCTATCACATTCTAACTTGGAAGAAACCCTTAAAATTGTATCATCATGTAATGAAAAAGATTAAAATGTTCACCGCAGCATTGTTTTTAATAGCCAAAAAAAAAAACTCTCCAGGAACAATCTAAAAACCCATCAACAGGGAAATAGGTAAATAAAAAATAGTAAATTCATACAATGGAACGTGAAAAATGAGTCATACGGCACTGAATGTACAAAAACAGATAAACTGCAAAATACAATGATTTGTTTTTGCTCATAATGCTGAGTCAAAAAAGCTAACAGCACAAAGCATAAAGACAATAGTCACACTTTTTAAAATCTGCTTTAGAGATAATTCATTCCCCTATATACCATACAATTTACTCATTTAAAGTGTACGATTGAATGGTTTTAGTATATTCAGAGACTTGTGCAACTATCACCACTATCTCATTTTAAAACATTTTATTCATCCCAAAAAGAAAGCCTATACCCATTAGCAGTCATTCCCCATTTTCCCTCCAGGTTCCCAACCCTAGACAAACCACTAATCTTTTTGTCTGTATAGATTTGCCTATTCTGGACTTTTCATATAAATGGAACCACACAGTATGTGGTCTTTTATGACTGGCTTCTTTCATTCAGCATGCTTTCAAGATTTATCCACGTTGTAGCATATATCAAGACACTTCTCTTTTTTGCTGAATAACATTCTGTTGTATAGGTATACCACATTTTATTTATCCATTCATCAGCTGATGAACATTTAGGTTGTTTCTATTTTTGGCTAATATAAATAATGCAATGATGCTATGAACATTCATGTACAAGTTTTTGTGTGGACCTATAATTTCATTTCTCTGAGGTATATACCTAGGAGTAGAATTGCTGGGTCATATGGTAACTCTATGTTTTTTTTTTTTGAGAACCTGGCACAATTTTCCAAAGCAGCTGCACCATTTTACATTCTCAGCAGCAATATATGAGGGCTTCACACACGGTTTTTAAAACATTTAAAAATACCCTGTATTTTTAGAAATACACAGGTAGCAAACCTAGTAACATATGCATGAGAAGGATAAACGTCAAACCAGAAGTGGGGGAATCAAAAAGACACACCCAGGGGCTTAATTTTATTTATAAAGTTTTGTTTATTAAGTTGTACAATGTATACACAGAAGTCCTTTATCTTTTTGTGGCCTGAAACATTTCATGCTCAAAATGAAAATCAAAAAATAAAAATTTAAACAGCATAATCATAATGTTACCTATGTATCCCTAAGAATACCATGTATTTTTTTTTTAATATTTTAAAGCCTTACGTGAAATCCTCATATATCGCTGATGGGAATGTAAAATGGTGCAGCTGCTTTGGAAAACTGTTTGACAGATTCTCAAAAAATTAAACATAAGATATGATGATTTAATTATGTAGAATTTTCACTCTAGTGATTTTTACAAAACTTCAATATCAAAGAATACCATACTAACTTTTTTCTGCTAGTATAGAGGGAAGGGAATATAAAAATTACCACGTCAGTAACATCTTCTTTGTCTTTCCCTCTAATAAATATATTCTGTATTTTCAAATACAGTAAAACTTGGGTACCATATATACAAACACAGGTGATATCACAGTGATAAACAAGAAGAGTGGTAAAACTCTAGAGCAGATTCCTTTTCTTAAGACAAGGAAAATCAAAAGAAACCAAATAATAATAAAATAAAGAGACAATAAATAGCTATACATTGTGAGCAGCAAAGAGAAATACACAGAATGCAGTTAACTTTAGTTAGATATTGAAACTCACTCTAAAAACTCATGCAAATTGCCTAACACTACTTATAGATGGAAAGCAATTACTCTGACATATTTGGTGAAATTACAAACCAGATGTTTTAAAAAAAGTAATATATCTTTGCCTACTCTAAATTCTAGAACCAGGCAGTAAACTACACAGTGGAAACATCTACTCAGGGCAAGCTTCTTCTCTTGTACAAAGACTAATTCTTCTACATGGAAACTCAGACCAGGCTATATTTTTTAGAGATTTAAAATGTTTAACTGTTTCTTAATTACACATCTAATACATTTCAGTGCATTAAGAAGTAGAGACAAGTAATGGGAAAAAGAAAACTCCTAATTTTACCAACCTCTTTTAAAATCATGCTTATCCTTCCATACTTTTTTCTATACATGTATATGGAAAAACATTAAATATATATATTTAAAAAACTAAATAAAATAGGATCGTAGGTACGAAGTCTCCAAAGAAGGCATCCAAAAAATGGCAACTCTTTCCCTGCCTGAGTTCTGAACAAGTTGAGAAACAAAACAAAGACTAAGATATCACTGTTTTTACTAATGGAGCCCTGGTGGCACAGTGGTTAAGAGTTCCCCTGCGAACCAAAAGGTCAGCAACTGGAATCCACCAGCGTCTCCTGGGAAACCCTGTGGGGCAGTTCTACTACATCCTATAGGGTCGCTATGAGTCGGAATCGACACGACAGCAATGAGTTTGTTTTTGTTTTGTTTTGTTTTCTTGGGGGGGGTTGTTACTAATAGCAGCTTTCGGTGTACTGGCTAAATGGGCTTGCTAATAGTGAACCCCAGAAGTGGGCATGCCTTAGCCACCAATCATGGGTAGCATTAGACACAAACAGACCTCTCCCTGCTACGGCAGACCCTTGCACAGCTTATTCCATGAAGAAGCAGAAGAGAAATCACTCTGGCTGTGGAAAGGCTAGCTAGCTTCTACTCAGAAGAAGGACAGAGCTGAGCTAAGCAGGGCTCATTACTCTCAAATTTATTGATCAGATTAGACATTACACCAGGTATGGAGTGAATAAAGGGGTAGAGGTCAACCCAGAGTGACACTAATGGAACTTCCTTCTCAGGAAAGAAACATTAGGGGTGGAGAAAAACATTTCCCGCTAACACTGTGATCACACTAAATGAATCGTTTTCTAACCTGCGTCTCCTCTTACCATAAACATACCATGTTCATAAATAGATCTATATCAGTATTTTTAAAAGCTGCATAACATTTCATTACATACAGAGTGGCCACAAAGTCCACGTACAAGCTAATGAGAAGTTATCAGCTAACTCTGGTATTAAATCCAGCTACAAGTTATCAGTCTCTCGTTTATAATGCTCACTGGTATCATTTATGTTGACGTTCTATGCAGAATAAATATAAAAAAATTAAGAGGTTAGAATGTCATGCATACTGCCTTTCTGTATTTTACAGCATACTTTACCTTGTTTGTTGTCTGCCTCTACCACCACCTCTCCCTCTCCACAAATGAACGTAAGCTCCATCATGGAAACAATTTTTGTTTTGTTCACCATTCTTATTTCTAGTACAGAGAACAGTGCCTGGGGCATGTAGTAAGTGTGGAGAAAATACTGAAGTTGTCAAGGATTTCATTTTACTTGGATCCACAATCAACACCCATGGAATCAGCAGTCAAGAAATCAAACAATGTATTGCACTAGGCAAATCTGCTGCAAAAGACCTCTTTAAAGTGTTGAAAAGCAAAGATGTCACTTTGAGGACTAAGGTGCACCTGACCCAAGCCATGATATTTTCAACTGCCTCATATGCATGTGAAAGGGGGACAATGAATAAGGAAATTCAAACAAGAACTGATGTCTCTGAATTATGGTGTTGGCAAAGAATATTGAATATACCATGGACTGCCAGAAAGAAGAAATCTGTCTTGGAAGAAATACAGCCAGAATGTTCCCTAGAAGCAAGATGGTGAGACTTCGTCTCACATACTTTGGACATGTGTTATCAGGAGGGACCAGCCCCTGGAAAAGTCGTCATGCTTGGTAAAGTAGAGGTTCAGCAAAAAAGAGGAAGACCCTCAAGGAGAGGAACTGACACAGTGGCTGCAACAATGAGCTCAAGCACAACAACGATTGTGAGGATGGCGCAGGACTGGGCAGTGTTTCGTTCTGTTACACATAAGGGTTGCTATGAGTCGGAACTGACTCAACGGCACCTAACAACATTAATATTTGGTGAATGAATAAATGATGCTTGTTGCTGCTGCAGATCCTATTACCGTATGATTATGATGTAGGAAACAACAGCAGAGCTTCTGAGTATATAAATTAAATGAGCTTTACTCAATTATGATGCCCAATGTGGCCCAAGTGAAGCCTGTGCAAAATCCTGGACCAGCAAGAGCTTCACAGCTGAGCAGACTGTTACTGCTTGACATGTGTCCTCCCAAAATATGTGTTGTAACTTCTAATCTTTGTATCTGTGGTTACAATCCCATTTGGAAATCAATTTTTTTGTTATGTTAAATAGGCAGGATTAGTGTAGGGTGTGTCTTAAATCAATCTCCTTTGAGATATAAAAGAGCAGATTAAGCATGAAAGCACAAATGGAGAGGAAGATACATGCCACATGATCTCCAGGAACCTAGAAATAGAAACTGAAAAGAGACAAACACCTTCCCCCAGAGCAGAGAAACAAAAAGAGGTAGAGTCTTATCCTTGAGTTGGTACCCTGAATTCAGACTTCTAGCCTCCTAAACTATAAGAAAATAAATTTCTGTTTGTTAAAGCCACCCACTTGTGGTATTTCTGTTACAGCAACACTAGATAACCAAGACACAGACAAACATACAAAGGGCTGTGCATGACCAAGCTTCAACAGCAACACCATGTGGCAACAAAAGGCAACAGCAGTAGTACACTTTCCAGTTTCCAGATCTTTGCTTGTTTCCAGAAGAGGAATGACACTACCTTTGGGAGTTCTCCTGACACATTAGAGAAGTGGGGAAGGGAATGTCTCAAAAGGAAGGCAAAGGACTACTTGTACAAGGAAATACATGTGACTAACTTTACATCTTGAGTCTGAAGAGCAAATCATACATATTACATATGACTTGCCAGCTTCATGTTGACCTTTTCTCTTCACTTACGGGATTTTGCTGTAACAGAATCTATCATTCTTTCTTTTTATAGTGTCACTTGGCACTGTGTTTAGAACTACCTGAAGATTAACATCCACTCATACTCTCTTTTGTATTATGTTAGTTCTTTTTTATACACAAACTTTTAATCTTCAACTTCATTTGGCACATGATGTTAGGTAGGGACAGAGCAATATTTTTACAAATTAGGATCTGAGAACCCAGTTTTATCACTTACTGAGTTTTATGAGTACCAATTTGTGTGAATACTAATACACGTACACAAACACAAACACATACACAGAGTTGATTCCATTTCTGGACCATCTCATGACTTGCCTTTTCCTTCCAAAATTCAACATTTCATTTTATTTTTTCAATTCTGGCTACATGATACAAAATTAAAAGCAAAGCTCACCTGTTATCCCCAAAAACGTTTCAACTATTTCAGAAAACATCTAAACATAATATTGTTTATTTGATTTAATTTTCATAGGAAATGGAAAATCCTGATTTGAATACTCTATCCAGCATATTTTACTCTATAAATATAGGACACACAATTATGCATTTAAAATATTATAAAATCTGAAGACTTTATAATGGCCTGCCAAAAAGGATCTCATTTTTCAAGAGAACTAAATAACAGTTAAATTATGTACTTAAGAGTATTTTAAACTCTTGGAAAATTTTAAATATCATA